GGCAGTCGGGTCGGCTTGCAGAGTCGGTAGTCTGATACGGGCTTAAAGGCCATCACACGTACAAAAATTTTAATCGTAATCGTAAGACCGTAAACAAATCGGCCAATCACAATCGAGCGTTTTAAAACGCGAGATCGTAATTTTGATTGTGATTGGTCGATTTGCTTGCGACCTTACGTTTACGTCTAAAATTTTTGTACGTGTGATAGCCTTAAGAGATCAACTGACACCGTAGTTTGTATTTGCTTTATCGACTTGTCCAGGAAAGAGGTTAATTTTTACTTTTATAATATATAGTTGATTATTTATTATTATACATATTTATTGAAATATGATTTAAGCAATATGAAGCGAATATTGGACTGATAAGAATAAATTTAATTAAATAAAGGAATCCTATATTCGGTCATGCAATATGTGGAATCAGAATGTTATAAATTCACAAAGAATTATGTATTTAATATTAAGATCCGCTTTGATCGAATATACTAATATAGGATAAAGCATGGTGGATTAGACAGGTGACCCATTGCGCATAATGGCGGAGGTCCATGATTTCAACCAATCAGAAATTGAGCTCATTTGCGGCGAAACTATTCAAACATAAAATAAAAAGAACGAAGCAGTTTATTGATTTTAAGTAAAAATTTATTAAATATAAATGAAAATTGTTTATTAACTGTTTATAAAATAATCATATACAATAAAAGAACCATAAAATAACAAATAAGCTTTATCTCTCTCTTTCTGTAATATTAGTTATGTAGACTACTTTCCAAAACGTTCCCTTCCAACAAAATTTTATTCGAAATATATAGTACACGTAAACATATTATATCGAGTAAAGTTTTCCTCGAAGGGAACGTTTTGGAAAGTAGTCTACATAACGAAGACTTATATAAGTTTTTTATTACACATACTATATGTTTCATTTTTTATATTTTTTTTTGCATAATTTTTTTCTTTTATTGAATTATTGATTTAGCGCAGGTGTATATATGTTCGTACAAAACAAGCAATTACCATCTTGGGAAAAGAAACTTTTTTGCAGACAATTGTACTTAAATTGTCAAAAATGAAGCAATTTGAATTAAAGGTGTCGCCATGAAATTTAATGAATTCTTCATTCATAATAATAGTTGCTACTTGTAAATCTTTAGAGGGATATATATAATTTCCTCTTGATATACAAGATAGCCAATCATCTCTAAACGGAAAACTCGCAGTAGGTACACCTAAGTTCGGATATTTGTGACGAAACATATGCGCGACAAATCCAGCCACATAAATTAATGTTTCATTTTCTATCGTCTGCATGGGTACAAATTTTTCAAATTCTAACAATTTTAAGTCATTTGTATTTGGAGTGAAATGGGATAAACTATTTCCTGGAAATTCAGAAAAAAAAGGTTAGGATAATAATGCTGGGATAAAATAATTCCTGAAGGAACGCTATATGAAGAAATCTTTTATGAATTAATATGAGCATTTTGAATATTTTACAATTTGATTTATATAATCATATATTACTTATTCAATTTTATTTGTATAATCATCACTTTATATGTAAATTCAAAATTTGATCAATCAAAATAAAAGGAGCTAAAATTCATTTTTTCTCAATGATCAAATTTCAATCTTCAATGCGTAATATGATACTGGCCTTACATAATCATTACTTTATTATTGCAGTACATTGTAAATTGTACTGAAAGCAATTGGAAAGCACTCGTTCATATTCCTATCATTAAACCTTTGTATACACATTTTAAAAGTCATTGTGTAGTACATAACATTTTACTGATATAGTACATTTATCTTAAACATAGTACGATAATATGTACATTAATATCACATACGTTAATTGAAAAAGTTAAAGAATGAGTATCTACGACCGTGTGATGTAAAGTATAAATGGCTGCGTTCAGCAGACTCAACAGTTTTGCAACCGTTTTATGATTGTCTGCTGAGATAGGACCATTCTTCTAGATCTAAAAGTATGATCCAATTAGCGCGAAGGAAACTTCCAACAGTTGCAAAACAAACGTTCTGCTGAACGCAGCCAATATCAGAGTGTCGGTCATATTGAATTCCTGCAAATGAGCTCAAAATTTGATTGGCTGCCATTACGCAACTCCCGGAATGGGTCACCTGTCTAATTCCACCATGGGATAAAGTAAATGCAAACTACGGTGTCAGCTGATCTCTTATGCGGGGTCTACAATAGAAATCGTAGCGGTCGTAGGATCTTAAGTCGTAGAAAATTGACCAATCACAGTTGATTATTCTTCTCATATTCGACTGTGATTGGTCAATTTTCTACGA